TGGGGAGCAAGCTTGCAAGGACCTGCTGAGTTATTTGCCTGATGCCACCCCATGAGTAGTGGAGTGAGAACCAAGTGCTCCTGATTGCTCACTACCACTGTATAATGTAGCAGCATCCTCAGCCACAAAGCTCTGAATTTGCATTTTGAGGGAATGTTATATGGGATGCAGAAGAAGAGTAGGGAACCACTGGCTGGATGAAGACTGCAGGTTTGGTTTATTATTACATCTAGCCACAAGGTACATCAGATCCAGATCCAACTGCCTCAGCATTTGGTAGTGTTCAGCTCTGGGGCCATGGTTCACTTGCTATTATGAAAATGGGCTCATAGTGCGTTTTGATGTACTCACTTCCTACAATTGATACACATTATTAGGTATGAGACAGGAGAAGAGACCTATTATGATTACAACATATAATAAGCAGTAGGGGTCACCTTGTTATATATCTCAGTCTGCTGGAGGTGGTGTTTAGCACATTTCTGGGTTTAGGCAAACAAAATTCTCTTAGAGGTCAAAAATCATGGTATAGTGATTAAGGATACTGACAAAGCCAAAAAATGGACAGTTAATACCATGTTTAGGCTCTCATTTAGGAGATTTTGCAGAGAAGAGTGTTACTTAAAACTAACTGCTGTTGACCATTGGAGAAATGAGGAAAGATACTATAATCTTATGCAATCCCAGTTTTGGTCTGTTCCCTTGACCTGGATTAACCTTTTTCCTTTTATCTGTATTTTAATTCCAAACACCTCAGTTGAATACGACTATATCCAGGTCTCTGCTAAAACCTTTAATGAGCAACACTAAGGTCAGCGGAAATAAGTTTGAACTCTATTATTATTTCATACAAATACTGTAGGGATCCTGGAATCTCCCATGATTATTAGTGATTTTGGTCTCCAGTGAGATGTTCAGTATCTGGCTGTATTTAGTTTATTGATTTATTTTTTAAACGGTTACCTTTCAAGAGCCATTTAAAATGCATGTTTCTTCTTCTTAACTCTTACTATTTACAGGCACACACACTGCACAAAGGCTGCACAGAACTGGGCCCCACTTTCTTCTGCAAACAAGAAATAAACAGCCAAATGGCCATTAAAATCTTAGTCTAAATATTTCTATTTCTTTCTTGAGTGAAAAAAGGATAAATTTATATATAGCACACTTCTACTACTCTTACATAATGACTAACTATTGTTAATAGACTAATGAAATATCAACTGTGCAATCTCTCCGTTTATTACAGCACACTCAAATGTACTGTTTTGTGCAATCAATATTAACAAAGATCACGTTCATTAAAATGTGCACACTGATCTGTAGGCTGAATACAGCACATAAAACTTGTTGGTTTTAATCAATAAAATGCCCAGAGCTGCACAAAAATTGCTGGGTCATGAAACTACGAAGCTATTAAACTGTTTGGGTTTTTTTAATAAATCTCTTTTTTATATAGGCATGAGTAGCTAATTGTTTTATAAATTATTAAGTATTCTTTTCATTGTTTGCATCATATTAATACCTAGAGGACTTATTAATGGACCAGGCCTCCAGCTGCTCTGTTTCCAGTAGCCGCTCACATAAAAGTGAGAAATTCCCTTATATGGTATCTTTGACTTACTTTTAAAACCATCCCAAATTGGTTTGGATAAAGGCCATGTGGGTAAGGCCAATATTGCTACATGGACTGAAGACTGGCTGGCAGCCAGGATCCCATAACCCGTAATGAGCATACGGTGAGGGTCAGACTGATGGGGCCAGATTAGGAGTAACATGGACAAGACTATCTGTGAACTGAAACTCGTGGAAGGCGTGTGGTATAAAGCTGGTTTCTTGGAAAGGTAGCAGTGTCATGCAGCAGTGGGTGCGAGCAAAAGCAAGGGTCTAGGACTCAGATGTTCTTAAAATTTATCTTGGAGACATATCCTAACTTCTTACCTGGAAAAAAGACAGCTGCCAGACTACAGGGTCTTGATCTATGAAGTGTAGAAATTACTTCTAGGCTTTGGTTTATCTTCTGCTTGTATCTCATAGAATGAAAGAGTCAGAACCATCCCCTCCAAAAAGAAAGTAGGCAGGGAGAAGACATTTTGGTTGTAACACCTAGGCTTGAGGAGGAAGATGTGTTAGTGGCCAGGGTCACAATACAAAAGGGCTTCTGCATCTCTATAGATGATTATTGCAGCAGTTGCCTCAGAAGTCAAGTTCCAAAGCCTTGAAATTGCAGGATATTGAGGGCCCTTAAGGCTGGTTAGAAGGGACTAAGGCTTTTCACTGGTCTGAATCTAGTCCACCTCAGTACTGAGGAGTGCCTGAAAGTTAATCCCATGATGAATGGTCTTCACAAAGTTGGCTGCTCCTGGTCCACATCAAAACCGGCATTAAACAGCAGTCTTAATAAAAGATCAGAGGAACATGAGCCAACTTAGGCTATCACCCTTGCAGATTGTGTTTGGGGTGCATTCCTGGGGCTCTGGGGGAGGCTTCTAATGCCACTAACATCTTTCCTTTTCACATGCACAGAGATAAAGATGGCAAGTTATCAGGGCGTGAAGCAATAACACCAAGTGTGTCCTGAAGACTAACTGAAAAGCATAGGCATCACCCTGAAATAACATGAGATAAAATGACTCCCAATAAGACAAAAAACTAATATATGTTAACAAGGCAGAGGCTTCCCCTAATCCCATTCTGAATAATTTTTTACTTTTTTCCTAGAATTTCTTTTAGAAAGATTTTCATACTGAAAGAGATTATCAGGATGGAAAATTTTTGCCTGAACAGATAAATTTCTGCAAAGCTGCAAGTGACTGCAAAAGGGACTTAAAATGAGATGTGTCATGCATTCCTATGACTAGGAACCATTGCATTGCCTATGTTCATTATGAATGAGCATGAATCATTCCTCACTTGTTTACAATGAAAATATGGCTTTAGAGAATTGAAATGTCAATTTCAATAAGGTCAGGATTTAGTGAACTAAACAAACTCATTTTCTCCCTTGCTTTTTAGAATTGCCCAGTAGTTTTCTCACTTTGGATTTGTCAAGCTTTTTCCCCCTATGTTTCTGAATTCCTCTCTTACAGCTTAATATAACACATGTTAATTTCATTTTTAAAAGTCAGAGTATACCAGTAGGATTTGAGGTCAATATTAAGTTAGCTACATACCCAGAAAGTCTAATTTTTAAAAGTTTTGGGGTTTTTTTGCATACCTGAAAAATGTTTAGCAAAAAAACCTGAGGATTCTAGGATTCTTGCCTATGTTCATTATGAATGAGCATGAATCATTCCTCACTTGTTTACAATGAAAATATGGCTTTAGAGAATTGAAATGTCAATTTCAATAAGGTCAGGATTTAGTGAACTAAACAAACTCATTTTCTCCCTTGCTTTTTAGAATTGCCCAGTAGTTTTCTCACTTTGGATTTGTCAAGCTTTTTCCCCCTATGTTTCTGAATTCCTCTCTTACAGCTTAATATAACACATGTTAATTTCATTTTTAAAAGTCAGAGTATACCAGTAGGATTTGAGGTCAATATTAAGTTAGCTACATACCCAGAAAGTCTAATATTTTTAAAAGTTTTGGGGTTTTTTTGCATACCTGAAAAATGTTTAGCAAAAAAACCTGAGGATCCTCTAGGATTCAACCATTTGACTTCAACGGGTCTGGATGTAAAGCCTGAGAATAGCATCTTGGACATTTGAAAACATATTGTGAAGCCATGGATAATATTTCTAGACAAACAAGTAACAACATTCATAATAGAGCCATTTAAATGTGCACAAAAAGGAGTATATGGCTTCTACTGGTTTATGGGAATGTATAACTAAAATAATACATAAAAACTTACCGTATTCAAGCTGGGACATACCGGTGAGCTGCAGAAGATCATCCTCATTAGTATAGATTCTCTGAGCAGTGAAAGAAAAAACCATGATATCTGCACATGCTGCATCAACACATTACACACTGCGACTGTATGAAACCAATGGAACTACCAACAAACATGACATGGGTTAACTGAAACCAGAATTTTGCATTCTCGTCTTTTAAAACAAGAGGGACACCAGGGATCATTTTTTATTTTATTTTATAAATCAATAGCTTTATAAACATACAAATAACCCAAATATATTATATTTGTGTTGAAATATCATCTCAAGGTTTTACACTAAAGATTATTTTGAGTTTAAAGCTGAGAGTAGGAAACATTTAAAACTTAAAACACCCTAATTATAACAACACATCAGCTCGATTTTCCTATCTTATTCTGTGAAAAACACTATCAAATTTAAAATTAGATCCTTAGGCTGGAGGAAAGCAAAGTAAACAAAACATGGGGTAGAATATGAAACTAATTTGTTAAGGAGTCTGAAACACCTTTGTTTAGACGAGATTCAAAGTTCCAAATCTTTATTTCCTTTGAGCGGGGAAACTTCCAACTAAATGTTGACTGTCATTCAACACAACACTTCGAATTTAAGCACACAAACATATTTCACCAGAGATTATCAAATTGCAGAGATCAAAGTCATTTTACTGTCTAGCTCTCATGGAAATAAAATGCTTTACTGAATCAGGGCTTTATAGCTGGACTCTCTTCCCATCAAAATAGAAAAGATCAGTGATAAACTGTGAAAGACCAGGGAATCCAAACGAGATGCTTTCAACAATGTTAATGAAATTAAACTATACAGAACTTAAAATAAAATCTACCAAATAATAATGGTTCAACCCAGTGGTTGCCCTCTCCTGAGCACAGTTTAGTATGCCAAATCTCCTCAATCACTTCTCTTTCCAACGAAGTACCCTTGTTGCCATTCACACAAGAGAATGCATCTTCATTGCTACTGGTTCCAACTAACCTCTGGAAATGCCTATTTTACAAGCTTATTCTGAATTCAGAACTGATGTGAGTAGAAAACAGACCCAGCAATTCGAAAACACTAGCAAAAATCACTTTAGAAGATAAACAAATAAATGACAACTCTCTACACAACAGAGCATTATATTTATTGTAATTCAGACACCTTGGGCTCAAATACTATTGAGTTCTTACTATTTACACCAACATAAATCAGAACTGACTCCACAGAGTTACTCAAGTATGTAACTGTTTTGGGCCAGAGGTAAGAGCCTTTCAATACTCTTTCCCATCATTGGCCTACAGACCTCGTAACCGAATGACAACATCCCATACCTTCCTGGCAGAATTCTAAAAAAACAAAAAGCAGGATGGTAAGCACACAAATTAATAACATTTGTCACTATTATCCAGCTAATGAATTACAAGGAACACTAGTGGTGGGCACTGTAGCGGAGTTTAAAGAAGGTGTCCAACAATTATAGTAGTAGGCTTCAAAGGCAGAGGACTGAGAGATCCCCTACAATTAAAACTTTATTAGTAATATAGCTGATTTCCAGATATCTTCCCAAACCTTCTGAAAACAACCTTAGGGAGTCAAGACCAGTGATGAAAATCACTTGAGATGATAAACAACTAAGCTACAAGTCTGCATACAACAGAGCTTTATAAGTGAGTTAGTTCTTGGTAAATAACTGGAAGGGAACTGTAGCTATTAGAAAGCCAGTTACAAGAAAAATTGGTGTTGTTTTCCAATTGATCCCATGGATTTTATCAGGCAGCACAAATCAGTTACGTGGAAGTTAGTCCAAACTGAGGCGGCTTTTTGTTTGTCCCACTCCTCCTGTTCTTTTGGAGTAGCAACTGGCTGGACTCCTTTCCCCACACTAAGTCCTATATAATGGACCAGGTTTTGCTGCCAGCCACGCTTCTGTGAGGCAAGGACAGCTCCAGCACATACTTCCTCGCAGGGCTGAAAGCAGACTCAGGCCCATTGCCTCAGTCCAGAAACAATCCTGTGCTCTGAAGGACCACTGTAGACTGGAAAATTTAATGGAAGAATCACCTTTCCCCTCAAATGTTACCCCTCAATAGATGTGACCATCATTAATACCATATGTTCACAAACAATCCTCCAGCCCACCAAATCTGAGAAATGCAAGACGCCATTTGGTGCTCACTTACAGAAGCAGATACAAGAATACCTCTGGTGAAGTCCAAGAAGTTACACTGGCCTGACAGCAGTGCTGGGGAGAGGCTTAAATTGTCCATGAACAATATTTTAATAAAAAGATTCGTTTTTAACTCATTTTCCTGCATCATCTCTCATTCCAGTTTCTCTGCAGTTGTGTTTGTGGCCCATTTTCAAGGCAGTTTTCTGTACTCTGTGTATGTGTAAAGAAAACTACTTGCAATAAACTCCATTAGAAAATACTTATTTCTGACAAATCACCCACTAGTCTGTTTTCCCTTCAGTGTCCTTTTAGCAGGCAGTTAATGAAGTTAGCAGCGGTGACCCTTGAAGTGATACTTATAGCGTACTCATTGCTGATACATTGCTCACAGTAATTCTTCCAAGCAGAGATGACAGGGAAGGAGTGGCAAGGACTTCTCTGTTCTGTTTTGATTTGTGTTTTTTTTCCTAAAGCAGATTTTAATGAAAAAATGAGGGTTGCTTCAGTGTTTCATGAGTTCCCGTTCTCTACTGACTTCATCCTTCCTCCTTTTCCCACTCAAACCCAGGCTGCTTCTAGTCTGGCTGCATCAGCAGGCTGGCTGGGGCAAGCTCGCAGGGCTCCCTTTCCAGCGGGGGCTTGGGGTGGATGCTCCAGGGAGCCTGGGAAGGGCCTTTCGCTGCTCCCATGGGCTGATGCGATTTCTCACCAACAGGAACCTCTTGTCGACAGCCTTGTTCTTTCTCCTCTTCTGCAAAAGTCTCTGCTGCTTTGATGTATGTTATAGGCTGTTCTTCCACTGGAGAAAACGGATATGTATTACTGAAAGCCATTTGAGAAGCTTCACAATAACTAAGCTAAAAGAAGGCTAATGGCAGCTTTGAGAGAGGAAAGCTATGAAAGACAGCACAGAATCGAGTTCAGAAAATTACAAAACCAATTCATGTCAAAAGAACAAAAAAAGAGGCAAAGTCAAGAACTTGCTGCAGATTTTAAGAAATGACTTGTCCTAGGCAAATTTCATGGTTCTCTGTTTTAATATACAAGAAGAGGAAAATGCATGCCCGTGACAGGAAGACCACCTGCCTGGCAAAATTAAAGCCCCTGCTCCAAAGTCAGAAGATCTTAGAATTATTCACTGACATGGTATAAGAACTTTCTTTAACATGTTAGAAAAGATATCAGATTAATTACCAGTCTTGCTGTCTAAAATGGTTGAATCACTTTTGCTAAAATTTTCAACTAGGAAAAAATCAGACACCTGTCATGAGAAATTCCTGTTCCAATAGCTGCATCTGATAATACTATAAATGAAAACAGAGCCTCCTAATGGGAAACATCAGGCTTCCTTCACTGGACAATACAGTTCTACACGTGTTCACAATATTAGTTCAACAAAGTAAATGTGAGGCATATTTTCTTCTGATGAATAAAGTGACCTCCCAACATATGTCTAAGGACAGGATGGGCAATTCTGAAAATCTTGCAAGATGCCTGCCCATTTGAGTATCCTCAGACATTTGTCTTTGCATATTTCTAAATAAGTGATGCAAACTGGGTTCTATAGTAACTTCTGTAGTTAGGAGGTATATATGGTAAATAAGACAAATGGTTAAGGATACCAGTCTTTTTCCATCATTTCTCACCATCTGAGCAATTAGGAGATTCAGTTGCCATCTATAAGGCAGCATTTCCTAAAACTCAGAGTGGTCCAGCTGGTAACACGTGGGCCATGGAAGCCCATTGTGTGCTTCTGTGCTGCCTGCTGCCTTTGCACCAGGGATGGGAGGCACACCTCCTTCATTCATCTCATCTTTGTTTAAGCACCAAACACTCCCCAAGCAGTCAAAAACCTTGTTTAACACAAAAAGCAGAACTGCAGTTGCTGCCGCAGGGCAAAAGATTTCTGGGGAGACCTGGACTCCTCACACCACGTCAGTTATCCTGCCTGAATGAATAAGGACTGTCAAAGTGTATCTTTCCATGGATATACATGCCCCATCAGTACGATGTGCATAACTCACTTGCTATGAAGCAAACCTGTGAAGTTCTATATAAATGCAAAAGTATGATATTATTACTATCACGAGAAGCACTGGCTTCTTATGAGTGTGAAAGCACTGTTGTAGTGTAATTTCTCATGAATAATCTGCAAAGTGAAGGACTGAATGGTCTCTTCACAGCAATACAAACATGGCTTCTGCTGTGCACAGCAGCTATAAACAGGCCAGAAATATAATTTTGGTTTCTCTGTCTCTATCAGCTGCTGGTCCTGCTGGTACAAAGGTGAGGAGAGATCCAATAAGGAAAGAAATCCTACTCACCATATTCTGAAGGACAGGCAGGATGAGGATCTGTTGTCTCACACTCAATTAGATCAACCGCTTTAGTCTCCAGAGAACTGTTACACTCCTTAACAACCGCAAACTGCAAATACATACAATATGCACAAAATATACAGAGCCCAACTTAATATAAAATGAACTGGTTTTCTGAAACCCAAGAGGCAAACTAGAAGGGCCACACACTCCAACCACAGCAGGGGGAAAAAGGTCATACTGGCTTCTGGGATGACCCTTCCCCTGCAGATAATTAAACATTTGAGTTGATGACAGCCCCGGTCTTTCTTTGGAAACTGTGCAGTCTCAGTCTAGTAAAGAACTACCCATTCTCTTGCCTTGCAAATCAACCTTTCCAGATGCAAGAACAATAGTACATGAAAATTAACCCTCTCCATAGTACTGAGGGCCACTTTTAAAGTATTAGAGAGACCCGCAACCAGACAGCAGGAAACCCTGTCAGACACAGGGAAAGAAGCAAGCCGCCCTTTCTGGCTTTCGGCACCACCTGGGGTGTGCGAGTCTATCGTCCCACGGTGACAGTGGAAGTGACACGTCGGAAGCAGAAGGCGGGACCCTCTGGGGGAACATGCTGAAAAGACCAGGGGGAAAACAGAAAAAACAGGGGTAGAGGAAAGCAATGTGAAGCACTGTGCTGAAATAGTATAGAGGGAAAGAGGGAAACCTCTATTTAAAGAGCAGAGACAAGGAAGAAGAGAAAATGTCTCTAAATAAGATGTTCCAACAGAAGGGCTGACAGATTCAGTGGTCCAGGTGGATAACTGGTGGATTTATGTGGATAGATCACAGGTGCAGCAGGTGTGACTATTTAGGCATCAGTTCATTTACATAAAATCTGTAGGCTTACAGCTGCTAACCCACATGTGGCAGACCCCTGGAGGAGATTCAGCTACATGCAGTTCTGCAAAATGCCTTTGTGCAAAGCAGAACACTTACTGGATGAAAAGTCTCAGAATAGCATCAAAATCCAGGCATGTGCAGAAGTTTACCAAGGCTTACATATCCCTAGGACAAACCTAGCCTGGCTTATGGAACTCTAATACGAACATGAAAAAATACCCAGGCATACCCTCAGCTAAATGTAGCCTCCCCTGGCAGAATAGAAGTAACAGGAAAAGTGAATGACACTTGGACAATTTATAGGTATAGTTTCAGTATCACGATACCTAGCATTTGATATGTGTGATAGCATAAAAGCTCATTATCCTCTACATTAACCTAGATGGGCAAGAACAAGAAAGTCTTTGCACTCCCCCTCCCCAGCCTCACAAATGAGCAGTAGCACTGTGGGCTACAAAAGGAGTGAATTTTATGAGCTCTTTACATTTACTGCATACACATCATCCAGTCCCCATACAAAGTCCTTCATTAGGATTATTAATGCTGTGTAAATCAGTAGCACCCAAAAACCTAATCCAGTACCTTAAGAGTTGAGGAGCTATAGAGTTTTCTGTCCCCTATGTAGTATAATCTCTTTTTTTACATAAAGCTCCCCAATAATCCACTTTAAGTGAACAGTAGAAATGGGCAATTTCCTGCTGCTTTTTGGCAACTCTACAGTTTTTAACCTAAGTGCATGCATGCATGAAGCCCCAGTGAACTTAACACTCAATGGCTACATCAGTACAGAGAAAATCACATGCATGAAACCACAGGAATCCATTACTGTGTAAGCAGCAATAATTAGCAAAGGGTCAGTGATTTCCTCTTCCAGCCTGCAACAAGCCATTTGCAATAAATTACTTTACTAATGTATTTGATGTCTCCCAGTGCAAGAATGCATGGTGAAATTTAACATGAGTGTGTTAATAGATGAGTAGGTTGGATTTGGTTTTGTTGATTCAGTCCATCGCTTAGCTGTCCAATTACTCCTATATTCAGCAAAAATGTCATTGACCACTAGCGTTCACTGTGGGGACAACAGCAGGTGGGGACAGAGCTGATGAGCTGCAGGCCTCCTAGAGCACTGCTCCCAGGCAATGAGCTATCCTCAGTCCCAACAAATGTTTCTGATTTTCCCAGCCTCAGATATTTTGCAAGCTGTGGTTTTTGTCTCTGCTGTGAACAAATGATGACATCGCCACGATTCAGCACATTTGCTGTCCAGTACCTGGAGGAACAAAGTGCTGGTGATAAAAGGTCCACAAGAGTATGCAGTTGACCAGCTAAGGAACAATATGTCGTAACCAGGGTCAAGTCAATTCAGTACTCCCAACATATGTTTGATAGTGTGTTTCAGTGGCTACCCGCTCACAATTCCTGCCAGACACTCAATCTAAACTATTTGCAAGGCATTCTTCGGGTTGATTAAAAATCCTTGGATTTGCACTATAAATATTCCATGATATTCAACCCCTCAAACAGACTCCCAAGTAGAACAAACTCATCTCTTTCTGGACTCAAAGATTTGGAGCAGAGTCAAACTTCAGGCCATTTAAAGTAAAATTCTTCTGTGACCATGACTACTACACACATGGTTCTTGTACCTTTCAAGCTATAGTTGGGTGTGGAAGGCTTTAAAACCTTGCAGTAATACTTATACTAGAAAAACATGTGTGCAGTTACCCCAGTAAAAAGGTAAGTGCTTCACTGGAGTTTATTGCCAATCCCGTACAAGTATAAACTCTTCCAGTAGTCTTTTCCACTGGCATAACTGTGCTTGTTTTGAAGAGTGTATGCCGTTTAGCTAATGTGATGCTGCCTGGACAAGTATGGTGATACCTGCATTACAGCAGCTTATTCAGAGCTGAATTCTATGCGTGTGCAGACAAGCTCTCAGGGTAAGTCATGCCATTCCAAGCAAGGAGTCTCAGACTGGGCACAGAAGTAGCCACAGATGCCAATTATGTCACTTTTGCCACCTTCAAGTTGCAATTGCTATCATCCAGCGGTGCAGTGTCATTTTAATGCCAGTGAGAATCAGGTCCTTAGATCAGATCTTATGGGTCCAAATTCTCTGATGCAACTTCAAAAATGACAACAGAAACAGGCCAATACAACCAGATCATGATGGCATTTCTACCTACACCAGTGCAAATTTTGTGTTTTATATTCCCTCCCAAACAGCCCGATAACATCCTGGGTTTTTTTTCTTTACAAGGCAGCAGCCTCTAGTACAAAGACATTTAATTCCATCAACCCCCAAAATAAAGTTCAAATTCTCATGTAGCACATAGAATACTTGGCTTCCAAGAAGCCTTTTTTACGGAGGGCATACTTTCCTGTGAAAATAACTCTGTGATATGCCATGTCATCATATTGCCATTTCCTTAATTTAGAACACAGTTCCCCAACTGTTGTGTTCAAAGCTAACAATAACACTGGCTAATGGTTGCAATACATCCAGGCAGCTGTGAACTTTGAGGGATAACAATGAGGTAAGATGAACTAGGGTTCACAGCAAAGCACTTGATGACTCTAGCACTTATTTAATATATTTAAGATGTGAATTATTTGATGGATAATCTCAAGTGGATCCCTAACACACTTTGATCCTTCCTGCTTCCCTTTCCACTCCACATTAATATGGTTACCCGAGACTTGTTGCTAGTAGGTGTCACGTTCTCATTGTCAGCGCGGCTGCTGGCATCTCTTATCGCTTCTGCATAGAGATTCTTCTTATACAAGTTTTGACTTCTGCAACAGAACAAAAGCTGAAACAAATTATTTTGCTTTGGGAGGAACAGATGCTGCTTCCTTTTACACATTATTCTATAGGTATTTACAGAAGGGACATATATTTTGTTTTCTTTCATTGGTTTGAAGGGGTGTATTACTGTCAATTACAGCACAGTGGTTAAAACTGTCAGAAACAGAAGTCAGTAAGAAGTTAACAAATGTTTGTTCTAATGTGCCATCTGTAAAGGGTCATTCATTAGAAAAAACAATAGGCCTCATAATTTTAACTACCCCCTTCCATTTTCTTATATTATTCTATTTATAATACATTCTTCTTACGAAGACTTAGGTTTCAGCCAATACAATGAACAGTATTTGTGGGTGAAGCTCAGAAATAAAAATCTGACTGTATTTTTGTACACTATTGATAGATACAATTATGAAAGTCGCTTCTGCATTAATCTGCATCATTTATGAAAAACAACAATTTCAGAAATTACTATGAAATAAAGAAACTGAAAGCCTCAAAAAACTTGGAACGAAGACATTTCCAGGAAAAAGCATGACCAACAGAATTAGCTCAAGGGGAAAAAAAGCCAAGAATACAACCTGGAGTTGGAAAAGGATACAAATAATTAGCTCTAAGTGGCTAGTTCCATAAATTCAAAAACTATTATTTTTGCAGTTACAAAGCAATCACTTATAAGGCAGTATTAAAATCTCATATAGGCCCCAACATAGAAGACACGGTCATAAGAAAAGGAGCTCATTTACACTGCTTGAGATCCAAGTCAGTACATCTTTACTGACTTTACACACATGCTTTTTCTCCTCCTAGACATCAGCTAACAAAATTAATGTTACACTCTTCAAATTCCAGAACTCCCAAGTTATAACTTCCTTTTACTTGATCTATTTTAAATGAAATTTAATACACATGTAGCAAAGAAAATAGGAATTTTCCTTTTATTTCTACATCATATTCATATACTAACTAGGAAAGTGCATCTGCCATAATTATCATATGTTGCTCCCTTCATGAAAATACAATGTAAATAAAATTTGCTTTTTGCTAGAAACAAGAAAGACCTGTCTCCACCATGAATTTTCTCCCCAGATTCTCTATAACATGTCCCTGTATATTCAAACCTTAAAAAAAGAAGTAATTATCTCCAGTAGAGGATAAGACTGGGACTGCTAATACAAAATCAAATAGGTGTCAGATCTGAGGGTATATCCACAGAGGAGAATGCTGAGAAATAAGGTAAATTAGTCCATTTTGACTTTTCCTGACACTGTGGCAAGGCTGCTGTTCATGTTTTGTCACCTGGATATGCCCATTCTGCATTGCAGCTCATAGTGCTGACAAAACTCGAGCCCATTACTCAAGAGTTATAAAATCCGTTGCACAGAGCACGGTCCTCAGTGGGATGTCCCTCTCAAGAGGATCACTGATTCTACATCTTACTTTACAGCATGCAGAGTAACAGATGCCAGATGGACTTGGCAGGCACGGGAGTCTTCGTGTGCGACTGAGCACAAGCAGGCGAGGCAGTGAAATCTAGTTGACCAAGCACGGGCAAGAGGCCAAGAATTTCTCAATCCTAATCCCAGTCCTACTGTCGATTTTTGCATGGCCTTGGCCAATTGAGGTGGAGGGATTGCGGGTGTTAAATCTGTGACTCAGATTTTTTTTTTTGTTGGAAAAGAGCTGTTTCCTTGCTTCCCAAGAAAGATGGGAAACTTGGCATACTATACAGTCAGACTACATAAACCTAACATTAAGAATAACACAATGCTCTTCAGCAGACTACAGTCAGTGAACAAATCCACACAATACTTTGGTATTCTTGGCCTCCAGTTCACACATTTTTCAGATTGTCAGGTGTAGATCTCCAGCTTCATTTCCTCCAATTAAAAGGAGATAGGCGTCTCCATTTTACAAGGGAAGGAACAGGGCTATTAGAGACTTAATCGGTACGTTTCAAAGTACAGTAGATTATGTGAAAAAGCAGTATAGCAATTTCAACCCAAATACTAGCTTCCAGACTCCAGTTAAATAGGGATTTTAGGTCAGTGGTTTCATTTTGATCTGTTTAGGCTAGTAATAGCTGCAGTACAAATTCTGTCAAGTACGTAATTGAAAACTTGTTGTTGAGGTAAATAGTTATATTGATCAAAAGCATTTGGCAAGAAAGAAAGGTAAATCAAGGAGAAATGACAAAAGGGAGAGGAAGGGAAGAGAATGAATACCTTCACACCTTAAAACCAGCCATATTCTGGCTATTTTTCATGACAGTTTATATGACATATATGGGAAATAGAAGAATCTCACAATTTGTCTATTCTGTATGTATCATTCCACCAGTTAGCTTCTGAATCCCAGGTCATGAGAGCAAACCAGGCTGCACTTAGCTTTAATTCCGGACCTCTACCATTAGTTAATAGAAAATAAGAAAAGTGGCAGCTTCTCTATTTTTATGGACTAAATACGCTAGGAACCATTAAATAAGAATGGAAAACATTAGCTTCCATTGTTAACTTCTTTTGTAGCTTGACTTTTTATGCCTAGGAGAGTCTAATTTTATAATTAACCTAAACCACAAACAAAACCCCTGCACAGGGAGGGCAGGTGAGCATGCAGCAGGAGACTCTTGATTTGGCTGCTCTCTGGCTTTTTGTTTGTTTACTTTTAAATATAAATATGCATTTAAACAAGAGCCTCTGAGAACAGTTATCTGTCAAGGTCATGGCCAAAGGACTCTAACTTATTAAATGCTGAATACTTTCCAGTCCTAGGGACATTGATGACATTTAATTTCATGTCAGGCTGTGTTCTTAAATAGTGACTGTAGGGATTCTTTTTGCCACGAGAAGAATCCCAAACCTGCACAATTCATTACAGCCATGGAAAATGCCAGGGAGTACTTTTACAACAGATGTGCCTTAGGCTCACATCCCTGATTTTACTGCCAGGAAAACTGCTTTCGCCTTCATTGCTGGAGGCATCACTGTGGAAGTTTGCTATTGGAAGGTTAGTAGGCTGCTTTTCTCAATGGCAAGGAAACTTTCGGGTGCCACTTTACACTGAAAGGGAAGCAAAATCAAACTAATGGGATAGCTAGCAGAGAAGAGCCAAACCCTACCATGAGTTTCAGGCATCTAGGGCTCTTAAGGGAAACCAAGGAAGAAGTAAATAGCATGCTCCTGAATTCTCTCATCAATACAAGTTATGGCTCCTCTTCAAACCTAATAAAGTCTGTTCTTATTCCCCCCCAGACACATGTCACTCGCTAACACCAATGCGAGTACTGCAGGCAAGGGACATGCCAGAACTTTCTGAATTATTCATAGATCCAATTACTGAAAAGCAAAAGAGTAGCAAGGATGATATGGCGATTTCCACCAGCTGAGGAACAGCTCACATTCTTCACCATGTGAGATGCCCTCCGTGAAAGTCAGCAGCACCTCGGTCCCTGTGCCACACGTTCACAGCACATGTTTGGAAGCACTACCTGTGGCAGTAGGCGGCCAGGGAGCCCAGCAGGAGCAGGAGGACCAGCACTGCTACGCACACTGCAATGGTGATGTTCCGCATCTTCACCCGCTTGGCGTGCTGCTGCTCCCACCACTCCAGATCGCTGAACTGGCATCGCTCCCCGACGTAGCCCGTCACACAGCTGCCAAAAGGAAATGAGCACACTTTGTAACTCAAGTGGAGAAAAAAACCCAGATCATCACTTCAGTCACCTTGTGTATTGATTTACCATTGGCAACTGCTACAGAAATATCTGGTTGAATTTAGTGGTGGTGAAGACAAAATTACTTTAAAGGAATGGCTGTCTAAACCTGTAGAATTTAATATTAAAAGAATTTTTTTACTGTAAAGCTGTAGAATTATACAAGAAAATTATAATTTCCCAATTCTAATGGGTAAAGAATAGAAAAAATAATTTTCTCTTAAATACTGCTGTGTGATTAGTGTTTCCCTAAGGTTTTCCATTTAACTATTTCCAGCAGCAAGCTTCCCTTTCTTTGAAATAGGCGATATAGGACTTACTCATATTTTCAGAGTGATTTGGCTAAGGGAATCAAATTTTAATCTGAATCCTTACTTTAAAATAAAAGACAAATGAAAGTGTTTAAAAAAAAACTTTGGGTTAGAAATGTCTTCATAATTTAGTTTTAATACAAGGTTCTTCTGTAGGCAGTTTTTGTTTATTTGTTTGTTTTTACCACTGTAAAACCCAACATAGAAATATCTTATCAGTGCATGAAACCCTCAAATCAAAATTACTAGAAAGTGAGAAATAATTCAAAAAGAATCTCAGCCTAGTTTTACTGTCCAAGGTGAGGGACATAAAAAAGGAAATAATAAACACAAAAAATGAAAAGTCTACTCGATTCTTAATAATCTCTCAGCAATGTAGGCTCAAATCCTTCTCACAATTCTTATTGGTCTAGTTTTACTCAAGTCAAAAGAGCTAGTCAAATGAACAAAAGAAGCAGGATTTGACCTGCAGCAGGTTTTACCTAATGTCCTGAAAACGTTATATCAGTATTCATTAATTAAATCAGGCACAAGCACTCTCATTCTGTCACAAATGAGAATGCATATATGTTGGAAGGCAGAAAAATGCTAACTTTTTAATGTAAGATCACAATAAATTCCAAACAAGCTAGAAGATCTACTTTCTAGTGTAAGAGCTTTTATTAATTAAAATACAAATCACATTTGGTATGTGATTTTTGCTAGATAACATTTTTCCATGACTTCGTTTTGGTATTTCATATATTACAGTCTACATGAATGAATGCTGCCATCTAGTGAGAATTCAGCAATGTGAGAATTCAGCAAAGTCCACACACAAACCCTGGCCCCCAAGAACACAGCTGAGCACGGTTGCTCCTTAATTTTTTAAATGGCTTCCACTTCCAGCACTGAAGAATACATACATTTGGTTTCTTATTATGCACTTACACCTAACAAATAAAAGAAAAAAAGATGTGATCCAATTTGAAAGTTCTGCAGTTGTAGACTTCAGTTGCAATAGGAGAAACTCAATGAGGTGAAAAAAGATAGTTTTCAATGCATCTAAAATTTACACTAAAAATTCATAACAAATACCAGAGATGACCATGAGTCCACCTCCAGTAGTGGCTTCACCCAAGGGCTTTGCTGAGCTTAGGAAATCCACTGCACAAAGCATCCACTTCATTCCTATGTATGTACATGAGATACATTCTTTTCATATAACTGCAGGTACAGAGGTCTGTAGGCAGGGGAGGCCACTCATATTTAAAAATAAGAAAGCCTAGGATTTGACAGTGCTTGCAGGAATGGCCTGGTACAGAGGTTCCTGCAGTGCAGTACAAGGAATACCTGGGGGAACGGTGGGTCAAAGAAAGAAACCCGTCAGCACAAAGCTTGCTCTCCTCACTCCAAGGTTATACCAGGGCCACCCGAGTTACTGAGACACAGAGGGAGATTTGCATCCATCCCCTGCACAGGTCCTCACTTACCAGGTGAGACCCCAGGGGAGGAGGCAGGCATTGGATTTGTCCCACTGTAAACACTTTTATGCTTGATTTTGAAGAAAGATACAACACAGATTCAAATATAATCATTACATAATTAAACCCCAGCACTAACGGTTTTGAAGAAATGATTACCCCATGGGACTAGGCTGTCACAATGACCAGGCCAAGGCTGACTTCTGGAAATATGAGATTGTTTTTGCTTTTATCAGTAACTGCATTTGGGGAACTGGGAATTAGGCTCACAAAAATATCGACAGGAGGAAGGAGGTCTCATTTTTGAGGTCTCATTGCTACTCTCCCTGTTTTTAAGAGGACCATCATGTTGTACCTTTTCTGCCAGGGACCAAGACTCTTCAAACTGTAAGGGAAGATGCTGACACCAGACTTCTCCTCCCTGGTCCCAATCAGAAAAGACAAGACAGAGGTTTCCTTTTCCATCCCATACACATGAACAGCAAGGCCAACAGGGATATACAAGTCAGCACGATACGTACAGGAGAGACAGCAAGCACCTCTTTCATAAAGCCATGAGCATTAAGTCATTTAACAACTTATCTCACATTTCCAAAGCAAAGAATCGAGTGCTTAGGGAACAAATCCAATCCTACTATTAATTGCAATGGGTGTGAATGGAGTGACCACTTACAGAAACTTACAGTGATCACTTACAGAAAGGAGTAGAGTCTAATGATAATTGTTAGCATGAGCGATGAACAGATAATTTATGGACAAACACTTCATTGTCTGCACTCAGCTGAGCTCTAAGGATACCATTCCTCAGCACAGACAGTACAAATTTCTGTACTTACTTGCAGGCATAGTCTTGTAGATCAGAAACATAATTGCACACTCCACCATGGAGGCAGTATGACTCGTACGAAGGAGGGCATCCTACAGAATCGCCTTGCACAGGGCGTGTAGAGTATTCATTGCTGACAACAGTGGGGGACACAGTAGATTCTGAAACACAGGATTTCACAAGGACATCTCAAACTTTTGGCCGCATTGGCAATGTGATCTTACGAAAGCGTTCCAGAACTTCAAGATAGGAAAGTAGGTAAAAATCTCTAATTTTGACCAATTACTTGTGTTTTACCTATTTGCTTATGTTGCTTATCAAATTTAGGCACACAGAACTTTAGATCAAAATACTAAATATGCTTGATTCTAGATTTGTAATGAAAGACCCACAGAGGTTGGCTGCGTTCTGTCTATTTAGATGTGTGGGTACAGCTCTGAAGAAAAACTGCACTGGCTGTCTAGTTACTTACGCTTAAATGATTTTTGCAACTTATGCAGCTTTAGGGTATGGTAAATCTCTACCATGCATAAAGTACCAGAGTCAGATGTACAGGTGAAGGGTGACTGTATTTCATGCACTTGGATCTCAGACTGAGTTTTCACATGCAACTTGTCATTCTCATGCAGATTATTTCTACTCTGCCACCATCCAGTTGATTGCATCTGTGTGTGACTGCAGATCACATTTTTATTGTTTCAAGCGGGCTCAGGTACAGATAACAGCATCACTGGGGAAGCAGGGAACCTTATTGACCCAATTCTTCAAAGGGTTCTCTAGCCTGCTCTGAATCGCACACACTGTCACCTACATAGATATCCAACTAGCTAGTTTTAAAGGTAGCTCTAATATCTCTGCACAGCATGACCTACAGCGCAGACATGCCCTTCCAGAAAAGGAGTGCTTTCTTGCCTACTTTGATGCTACAGCAAATCTATAGGTCAGAACCAAACATCTACATGGCAAAGAATTTCTAACAGTATGGCTTAGCACAAATGCACCTAATCGCTCTCATATATTTATGGGATCAGTTTTATGACTCACACCAGTTTTATTGCAACATGACCTTCAATGACATTTGTTTTTTAAAATTTCATTTGCAGGAGAACTGGAATAACAAAGAGCCTGAATGGAAAGGGATGAGTGATTTTAGTGAACCCCAGGTGTGACTGCATTCTGCAAAGAAAATTTCAACTTGCTGAAAGAGCTTATTAGGCAAAGAACTAAAACAGCGTGTTAACACACATGAAGACATGGGATCAGATTTACAGCTGAGGGACCTAGATGGCATTACTTCCAAGTCATGCATCATTTAAAATCATCATTTCCTGAGTGACACCTGAAACTACTGAAAGCTTGAGTAACTGAAAAGGGGGTGGGGATACTGATAGGTGTTGTACTTAAAGAGACCCTAATTTCCTTCTGGTTTTCTGCAGAAACAGATCTGTGACAATCACGCAGTGTTCCTCCATCATCAGACAGTCACTTGATCTGGAGTAAAATTCACCCCGATGAAGAGGGCTGACACCGAGTAAGACAGTAAGTCACTTAGCTCCACATTTTCAGAGAATGCTGCTGTCACATTGAGGCACTGAAATGAGGATCGGATAGTCACTACTGCTGAACCTTCAGCAGCTCCCTTCATTAAATAGGTAACCAGATTTTCTAAAGAGTTTCAGAGCCCTTTTGAAAAATTAGCCACTGGATCTGAAAGGCTAGCTTATTCTGAAGAATTAAATGGGACTTAAATTATGTGCAGTTCTTGTGCTAGCCTTGTGCAGAGGGAAAGAAGGCACAGAGAGTTTGAAAAATGACACAGACTGAAATCACCTCCAAAAATGTTACCTCCAAGGACCATTTACTTCTGCTGTTGATTCTAAAGGCCAATAGATAGATGTGTCATTACATTTAGACAGTAAAAATTAGCATTGAACCTTAATGTAGATATTTCCAAACTAAACTTGGATCTGGTTTCCTTAGCCCACCTCAGAACAGCCTCCTAAAGCAATGCTAAATGGATCCACAAGCTGCCCAGTATGTCACTGTACAGGGTTTCCTTAATTTCCAAGTATAACAATTTATCCAAGAGCACAGTTCTTAGTTAAGGGCCACTTCATTTTAATTTCTCACTCCATTTACTCACTGCAACCTATGCCAGTTCCAGAAGCACCATCAGCACACGAGCAAGTGAAGTTTCCTTCTGTATTTGTGCAGGTTATGTTCTCTCCACAGCTGTGGGACCCCGTCTTGCACTCATCAATATCTGTCACCCAAACAGTCTGCAGTTAGAAGAACGAAATGCCTCAGAGCATCGGTTAGAAGGGCAGCAGTTGCAGCATTGCAGTCTCCTGGCAGTGGGGAAAAGCATCAAAGACCTTCCCTCTGCAAATATGCCTTCACGGAAAACGTAACGGAAAAGCAACCAGCATACTTTCTATGCCAAGTAATCACAGCCTCCCCAGCCTCTCAGAGTGTGCTATGCTGCTGCAGAAGCTCTCCACAGGGAGAAGGAAGGAAAGGCTTCCCCATGAAACCTAACGAGTACAGTAGAGTTGAAGAGAAGACTTATTTGTACTGGATATATTCTCCTGGCATTGCTAGTCATAGCTTGCACCCTGGATGAGTACTGAAGTACTGTCTGCTGGCATTCTTGCATTGAGACATCAGAAGGGTTTGGGAGTGGGGTTGCCCGCCCCTGTACCACCCACCTGCTCCAGCCTAGACAAAAAGTTTAGACAGAAGGAAAGGGTCTAGAAACCTGCAGGTTTATCCAGTTTGTGTACACACTTAAATGAAGTGAGTCTCTGAATTACTATGAAGAGGCTCCCCGATTACAACAAGAGTTTCCAGTCTGAGAGCTGTGCTAGGCTCATATATACCTCTCACCCACATCCTGCTGCACGCCCTCACCCTGCCTCCACACCTTCTCAGCACAGCCCCATAGCGGCAGCTCCTGCCCGTCTGGCACTCACCCCCTGGGCT